GACGATGACGCTCAGCACGCACTCGAAGCGTGCCCGCGTTGGGAGCGCTCGCGGCGAGACCTCATCGCGGTGCTGGGGAGAGACCTCTCCTTGCGGGCTGTCATCGCCCGCATGCTAGAGGACCAGAATTCTTGGGAGGCCATGACCAGGTTTTGCGACCTGGTCATGGCGTTCCGTGAGGCTGAGGAGCGCGAAAGGGAGTGGGATCCCTCTTCGGCTTCACAGCGAAGAAGGCGGAGTGGGCGGCACGGGCGCGAAGCTCCCGTTCATCTCCCGTAGGGGCTGTCGGGTGCCGGGTGCGGGGGTGCCCGGTACTCGGCTGTTGGTCCGGTGGTGAGGCGGCGCAAGGTGGCTCCTGTGCACCGCTCACGGTGTGTCTCCGAGACGACGTCCTGCGGGATTTTCCCGGGGATGGAGTGCCGTCCTATTAACAGGATGGGTACCGGCGACGGCGAGCCTTCGGCGCGCACTGTGCGGTACCGTGGGTTTCGTGGAGTCGGAGTGGTGGGGCTCGATGGGGTTTAGTCGGTAGTCGTTCTGCGGGGCAAGTGCTTCCTTTTTCAAGGCGTAGTCTCCTGTGAGAAATTGGGGGAGGTGAAGGACCTCGGCTCTTCTCTTCTCCCCTTCTTCCTCTCAGGAGGCGCCGGAGTCCGACATAACCCGGTCCGTTACCCCCCTCGACCGGGTATCCGTAAATGGATTCCCCAGCGTTAAAAAAAAAAAAAAAAAAAAAGGTGGTAGTACCTACCCGCGCGGACTCACAAGAGGTCCTACCACCGGTAAAAACCGGTAGGTGAGGTATTAAAATTTCAGATACCAAAAACAACAACAAAAACAATTTGACCATTATGTCTTGAGATATAAGGGCGTGTTTTGAGAAACGATTGTCTAGCGAGTTAAGCTTGCATAATCCGGCTGACTGTGTTGCTTCCATAGCCGAGAATCAATCAAATTGGATCTTTTAAAATCGTATTTGGGTGACTTTATCTTTATCCGAATAGTATTATGGGTCAGTCGACATTTTTTTGAATGCCAATCAGCATCACTGGATGTGGGTTGCGCTATGCCGATTATTGTGGCGAATCTTGGGAGTGGCATATGTCCAGCAGTGGACGTCCGTGGGCTGAGAAAAAAAAGCCAGTATCCCGCTGCGTAACATATGAAATAAATTCTCAATTATATTGTATGCAGCCTTTCAAAAAAGAGCTTATCGCAAAAAAGGTGTACGGTGGTAACCACCACAATATTCGACGCTTGAAAGGCAAACGTGACTAAGCGACAATAACTACTTTGTACTTAAATGATAGGCAATAACCATACTCGATGCGCAAAAAATATATATTTCTAAGTCTATTAAAATCAGTTCAATCCTACAGCTAGATTCGTTAAAATATAATTTTTTTCAGGTATTTCTCAGGTATATTTTATATTAATTTCAACTTTAAATTAGTCTACTGTAAAGTTCACGTATTGTCGCTTAGTCACGTTTGCCTTTCAAGCGTCGAATGTGCAAAAGTAGTCATAAAATATATGTCGCAGAATGTGCCGATATCTTCATTATTTCTCGACATAGTAGGCGTGTGGTCAGTAATCGTGCAAAGAGATTGCGCAGCATGAAACGATGACAGTTCCAAGACGTGTTCACTCTTCCTAAATCAGGCTACTGTTTTTCCCTTACTATGCTGATAGCCTTGAGAGGCTATTTCAACTTCGGCTTGACGTGTAGATGAGGTCGCGGGGCTCAAACCACGAGGTGTTGCTAGCAGTGGCCCCAGCAAGAGCAGTGTTTCGCAGAATCTGCCTCCGGATCGGAAACGCGACCCACTGAGAAAGCGTCAGACAACGAATGTGTCTCTATTCCACTCGAGCGTTGATACCTCGACTCTGCCGAAGGACACCAACCGAAGCTGATGATGAGCAGCTCGCATCCACTAGGTGGCACTTTTTTGCTTCGCTTGTCATGTCGGGGTCTCTTTCCTTCTACTTTGCCCGTCACAATCAAGAAGGAAAGAGACAAAGAAAAAGAGAAAGAGAGCAGCTGAGGACCGGACGAGATGGTAACAGCTCACGAGACGGGCAACGGTCAAGTTTCAGGGACACGACCTTCAGCAATGAAGAAAACGACGAAGAAGTCATGTCGGGATGCGGCGCATAAATATCGAGGCGATCAAGATATCGCACATTTTACCCAAGGAACTCAGTAATATAAAGCTGTAAGGTGTCCGACCCGCATCAATAATTCGATTTATTTTCAATCCGAGCCCTTACCGGAAGCAGCCGAGGGCTGTTTGAGACATTTCGTGTATTTTTACCTCAATATATGATTACAGCAGCGAGAAGAATGATAAATATTTGAGAATTAGCAAACATGTACCAGAATTACTTTTATGGTTTACGTAAAGATATTATGATGTGAATTTAGATTTATTGCTCATACCTTTTAGTTTAATTATGGATACATCATTCCAACTGTAGCTTCTTCTGTGCAGTCAGGGTCTACAGAGGCTACTACGCTAAAAGTCTGAACGATTAGGTTCACGTAATCCAAAGGAAAGCCAAGTGTTTTGGATCCCGCAACAAGCTTAATCAGACTTAATCAGGCCAAGGGTTAATAATTTATTAGGTTAATAATCAACGAGACTAGTTATAATAATTCAATTTAATTAACAACAAAACATTAGTACACAGCTGTAACAATGCGTTAACTATGCTAATTCAATTACTTTAAGACTAATACTTAGTATCTTTAAATGCGGAGCAGCGATACATAATATAATTTAACTGTTAGCTATTAAATAAATAAATAAATTAGTGCTATTTACAGTGCTCGTGGGTACCTCAGAAATCGAGTTAACAATTAATGTTTTTTTTACACTGGCAATCGAGCTATTACACTATTTCTGTCACTCATTATTCCATTTTTGAATTTGACAGCTTGCAAAATTTGACAACGTCAAACGTCAATGTCACTTCAAAAACTAACAAAAACGATTAGACGGTGTTTCTTTCGTAATGAAAGTACAAGTACATTTCTTGTTCAAAACCATACATATGGCTTGATTTCCAAAAATCGTGTAATAGATCTCTGATTCACGTTATCCGTGTGGAAGCTGCAACCTCATTCATCTGTCCGCCGTCACGATTAATCCTTTTTGACGATAGTCTGAAATTGGATTTAAATTTTAATGTAACAGTTATTATAGGTCTACTAGAATCTGATGGCAAAAAAAAGTAAAAAAAATAGCGATTTTCATATGGCAACAAAAAAAAAATGTCATCTGTCAAAATTGTAATTTCGAGGAATTGTTTTTGGTTTGGCTTCAAATTTCCTTTAGAAAGTGGTGAAAATGTCGAAGAAACCTCTTCGATCGCAAGCAAGAAATATTATTTTCAATGTTTATCAAAGAATAATAATTGATGAACAAGGTGCAGAACAAACACAATCGATATTGAGCCATGTGCAAGCGTTGACTGGTTAGTAGGAATGACACGTCTTGATACTTTGGTTTATTGCATTTTCACATATATTATGCATACTAAACTTTAGTTTATTTCAGGTGTTTTAAGACGAATTGTTGCTGAAGGCAGATCTAACAGAGGCGTATTTAGCACGCCCGATAAAAAGAAGAAAGGTGGAAAAAATACTGCGTCTTCCTCGTCTTCCTCTTCCGATGAAGACTTTTATGGATGTGCAGTATTTGGAACCATTTTCAAGTTCTGATAGCCTATAATTAATTTATGAATTCATGAACAGAGTCATTGGAGTTTTCATCTAAATTTCGAACCCCACGTTCGCCACAGTAAGATTTTCAAACATTATCCATGATCATTGCATAAATTTTTCTATTTGCATGTATTACAAACAGAATCAGCCGCTATAAGAAAAAAAAGTATCAAAACGCTTTACTCCAATTTTCCCAGTATTGCTAGCGTCAATTTCTTTTTTCCCTTTTTGCTATCAGATCCTGGTAGACCTATACTTTCCAAGTGATCGAAATTCAACCATAAACGGCCGTCTGGTGTAGTGGTAAGTGACATGGTCACTACACAAGGGGGTCGCGGGCAAGGGAAAGTATTTGTATGAAAAATATAAATGTCTTTTCCAGGGTTATGGATGTGTCTTAAATATATGTATTTGTATAATAAAAATCTTACATTTATTTCCGTTATCTGGTACCTGTAACACAAGTTCTTTACGAACTTATCACGGGACCAGTTAACGTAGTGTGATTGTTAGTAAATATTTATATTTATTTATATTTATAATTACTATCTTGAAAACTTAGATTTATTTGATCTCATACTATTATCCATTTTGTAATTTGTTTGGTTAAAGATGTATACAAGATCGTGTGTTCGTCAAAAACCTACCCGTGGGGATTAGACTTTCACCATGAGTTATTCTGATTATAATTTTCTAGGGTTTGATTTTTATTACACGATGTTATTCTTTCACCGTGAAAGTCAATCGTGAACATTTGTTAAGTTCGTATTTCATTAGGAAAATTGGTGTGGCCCGTGGGAACACTTATTCTTTGGGCCACGATGACACAAAAGTCACGCCCTAACGCTAATTAGTCACGATATTTGTTAGACAAGGATAGAGTGTTAAGAAGCAGTTTTTTTTTATTGCTTAGATGGGTGGACGAGCTCACAGCCCACCTGGTGTTAATTGGTTACTGGAGCCCATAGACATCTACAACGTAAATTCGCCACCCGCCTTGAGATATAAGTTCTAAGGTATAGTTACAACGGCTACCCCACCCTTCGAACCGAAACGCATTACTGCTTCACGGCGGAAATAGGCGGGGTGGTGGTACCTACACGTGCGGACTCGCAAGAGGTCCTACCTTTAGCTATAAACATAACTAAACATTCTGTGCTGTACTCAGTAGAAGCAGTCTAAGTAAAGCATAGTATTATCGTTGTAAAATCATAGCACAGTTAAAACATTAAGCCCAAAGAGGTGTGGGACTTTCAGTAAGCTAATGAGAAATTTATCTTAATAAATTTCCTGTGCGCTCTAACTAGTTAGGTACTTATTACACTGAACTTTGATCTTTGGATTTGCAGTCATATACACATGTTAGTTAGTGTTGTGAAACTATTTTGTGGAGTGAAGTGTTCAAGATTACCAAGAATAAAGGTGAAAGGATCGAGGACTTTTGAAATCAGTTGAAATTATGCATAAGGCTTGGGTCGTTGTAAGTGGTGCATTGCGCTGCGGAATTGGTTCTGTAGTGTCGGTAGAGCAATCTAGATCAGTGTTTCTCAACTACTTTGCTGCTCAACTGTACCCTTTTGTGTTCTGCTAAATTTTAGAAATCTTAGAGTAAAGTTTAAAGCGGAGTGAATTGTAATTAATCTTTAATGCACCCGAAGACCCAGTCCAAAGAGTTTTCTACATCTGACTCAAGTTTTGATCGTCTCTCCTGCACCATGCTCTGAAAGAGACCCTAATGTCCAAAATATTGCAAGTCCTTCGTGCCGTCATCCATGTCTTAAATCAAAGTAGCAATGCATGCCACCAATAAATAGCATGTCAATGATATTGTTACGTCATTAAGCGTAACGCCATGTATCGCCGAATAGCCGAACGAGTATCGAAATATCTAGTAACATCTAGAACGCTCGAGAAGTACAACGCCATCTATTGCCAGATAGCGGAAGCACACATCGAAGGTACTTGACGTGTAAGGAATGAGTTCGACGATTCTAGGGATGTCGTAACGACTACAAAAGCTTTGCAGAGATGGCACGCAGTCAGTTAGTAATCGGAGCTACTCGAAGCGAGACAGCGAGCTGATCACCTGAAGCGAAGCGGAAGAAGTGAATTGAGAATTTTAAAGTGTTTGTGAAGTGGTCTTAGTGTTGTATACAACAGTTTTAAGTTGCACTTCGGTAGATTTTTTTACTTATCACGAACCTCAGCGAGTAACAATATATACGATAAAGCGTGGGGGAGAGCACGCAATCTTGTGCAACGTTGATGATTATGCTATCGGAGCAACAAACATCGACGACGACTGTGATGCTTCGGTAACTCAAAAAGCTAACGATCTACTTGCAGACTTTCTCGAGGATCGGGGTTTCTCGGGGATACCGTAGGCTGGTAACTTTGACCTAAATGCCAGACGCTGTCGAAGGCCTTTAAGATCAAAAATCACAGCTTAAGCTTCGTCCTTGGTACCCAAGGCTTCGCTCAACGGTGTGTAAGGTATACAAGAAGGTCGCCAGGTGGGCGACCGCAACGGAATTTTTACTGATCAGCTGGCGAACCTCAAGATGCTTCAGGAGTTGCGTATATAAATACGCTTATTCGCTCAATCAACTTGGAAGCCAAGCAAATTAAAGCAAGAAGCCCAGTTACTCTTCTTGGGGATAAAGTAGGTGGTCTTTTTTCATAGAAGACGGAACCTTGTTAGTGGTACAAGAGAGGTGTTAACTAAGAGGCGCATGTTTGACAAAACCACTGCGAAGATGCGATCTGATCCACTCAATTTACGTACGTTTAGATGTAGCGATCCACAATGGGAGCTTTAGAAGAAGGAAGGGATAAACGCATCCCCTGAAACACCATGTCTTTATGTCCATCCGCGCACACATCAGGATGATCAAAGGAAAAGCAGCAAAAAATACCGCCCAACTCTTTGGCATCTAGTTATGGTTCGTTGCGAGAGAGCGTTATGGCAGCACGGATAAGTCAGTAATCAGACGATCCAAGTGGACCGTCCACCTCCACACTATATTCAGCTGGGTGAGTGGTCAACAGTATGCTTAGTGCGAGTTTTTTAACGTTCTCGATAGCGTAAAAGTTAGCTCATATTTGTATGGAATGGGATCGTTTGCGTACGTTTGCCGCTAGGGGCGCTGTTCCAACTGCATACAAAATTGGCTTAACTTTTACGCTATCGAGAACGTCAAGAAACTCGCAATAAGCACACAGAACGTTCAACAAAGAAAGCTCGTATCTTTCAATATCTGGAACAGGGTAGGGCTGTGTCACCAGCTGGGAGAGGCTGTAGGCCAAGGCTGAAGGCTAATGCTTCTAGAACGCAATCACTTTACATCTTGAGTGTTAAAGTTTCCAAGGACCACCACCTCCGCAAAAAAATACTGCTGAAGCACGCGGTCAGACACCTCTGTGTGTCGTAAAATTTTGATATCGTTAAAAGTGTGCTGCGAAAAACTAAAGGTTGAGAATCACTGATTTATACAATCAGATTTCACGACATGGCATCACACTTTGCGCAGCGCTGTCCCATGTGACTCATAAGCAGCTTCGAAAGATCTCACTCCTCACATTCAGTTTGCAATTTCATAACGCTTTTCAGTTTAACTCCGTCGTAAAGCACCAGAATCATAACGAACGTACAATTGATTATTCTTTTTTCAGCTTTATTCATCGGAAATATGCTCTCAAAACGTGGTTCTGTTACGAAATATTATTTTGAATAACAATGGCGATAATTTTAAGGTTCCAATTTATTGAATTATTTGAAAAAAATATATTGCCGTCTGCATTCAATTACACTGATTCATTTTCTTTTGTATTCTAAAGCTGTTATTTCCTTCAATGTTACTTTTAGCTTAGCTTCCGGAATTTGAACTTAAAAAAAAGAATAATAATACAAGAGCTCAAAACTTTATCCCCGTTGAATATCATCTACCTTGGCAAATGCGAGCGAAGTTTTAGCTGTACATTAGGGAATGTCTTAATTTTAACGCATGACAACTTATTGACAAAACTAGACAGGATATTTGTATCTAGACTACGTAGGTTCGTAATTTTGTACAATAGTACAGATCTTACCAAATTTAATGCAGCAATATGACGCAAATTACTAAATTCTATGGCTTTGAGCTTAACAGTAGAGGATGAGAGACCTAAGAAGAAATGGATGGATTCCGTGAAAGACGATATGTGTAAGAGGGGAGTGAGCGAAAAAATGGTATATGATAGAGGAGTATGGAAGGAGAAAACATGTTGCGCCGACCCCAGGTGACTCTGAGAAGGGCCAAAATAAAATGATGATGATCTTAACAGTAGAAGTAATTTCTAACAAGTGTTAAATACGAATTAATTTCAGAAAGCATGGAACCTGGTACAGAATTAAAACTCCGCCAGTGTCTAATCATTTGATACACCTAACACGAATTGTTCATTACACTGACCTGATATTTCACAATTCTTTACAATTGCTTCTAAATGTTAACGATAACATTACAAATTCCGGTATAACAAATTCACAAAAGAAAAACACAATCTCTTACGGAACAGTCTATCAAACTGAAAACCCCCATAGCATATCTAGCTAATGGATTCTCCGCAAGGCAATCCGTCAATCTTTACATTCAATACTCCGTTCAGTCTTAATTTGTGTATCTCACCGTTTTCAGTGAAAAAGACGGGGCTTTTATCGAAACTCACGAAGGCTGTGTAAGGAGTGCTGTCCAGTTGAAAACAGAAGATATATTGTTACTAGTCTTTATGGCTTTAGATTTTATCTCATCATATATTGTGAATTTAAGTTAACTAGTGGTCCCTTAGTAGTCGGAATTCCACTATAATTAATTGAAATTCTAAGTTTGAACATTATTAAAGTTCTATTGTCAAAGACCATTTTTATTAATTTCATATAGTATTCATAATTCACTATTCACTATTCATAATTAGACCAAAGACTTTAATAATAAACAAAAGTGTCTAAATTTGTGTATGTGTGTCAAATACAATATGGTAGTGTGTGTAATGTTTTTTTATTGATTTAATGTATTTTTTATAATTACAGAAAATATTAACATTCTGCACTCCTTCTCTATATTCTTTATAAGTTTGGGAAATATCATACTCGTGCGCAATTTTCGTAAAAAGGGGTACAAAGTTTTTGCTTCACGTGTTAATATAATAATACAGATTGCACAAATTTGTTCAAATGGTTTTTGGGATGAAGGTTGTGAAGTTTAAAGCCTTTAAGTGTAAATTATTTAGGGTTACGAGGTACACATTTTATTTGTTGGAAAACTATTTGAAGAGCTCATAACTTACGTATTATTAAGCGTCTACTGCACACAGATCTAAACGTGAATGCGGTCACCAAATTTGCGTATAAGGGTAAATGTTGCAGAAATTGTTTTAGAACATCGGTAGGTACTTCAATCCAGTGCATATGTTAGTATTATTTCACTTAATTATTACTGGTGGTAGGACCTCTTGTGAGTCCGCGCGGGTAGGTACCACCGCCCCGCCTATTTCTGCTGTGAAGCATTAATGCGTTTCGGTTTGAAGGGTGGGGCAGCCGTTGTAACTATACTGAGACCTTAGAACTTATATCTCAAGGTGTGTGCCGCATTTACGTTGTAGATGTCTATGGGCTTCAGCAACCACTTAACACCAGGTGGGCTGTGAGCTCGTGCACACATCTAAGCAATAAAAAAAAATAAAAAACTTAAACTTAGAATACTTAAACGAAATATACCTGAACGGAGATGACAGAAGATTTATTGTTATATATAAGACAACTAGCTGACCCGGCAAACGTTGTTTTGCCATATATGCGCCATCTATTGATTACTTACTCAACCCAGTCGAAAGGTATCGACATCTGTTAGAATCATTTGGAGTTAACAGATAATTGTGACTGTCAAATAATAACAGACAAATAAATAGCAATAAATTAAAATTGCGACTATAATTTGAGATTTAAACTATCCTATCTCTCAAGTTGGATCGAACTGCACATGGTGTGCGAATTTTATTATAATCGGTTAAGTGGTTTAGGAGTCCATCGAGGACAAACATTGTGACACGAGATTTATATATATTAAGATGAAAATAACATAACTGTATTGAAACATAGCTTTGATGAATATATGAAAGCATACGCTTTTAGTGGTTGTCAATCATAAGCTTTGTATTCCTGATTTTCACTTCAAATTAAGATGGCTTTATTTTGATAATCTTTTATCGTAAAATCCCTAAATATCCGTATATTTTATTAGAATTCGTGTTTTTTGATGCAAACAAGTTTCTTCTTTCTTCTTCTTTCTTAAAAGTCTTTTTAAAAGTTATTAATTGGTTTTTAATTCAGTTAGAGAGGTGATTTGATGAAATAAATGCGGAAATATTGATTATAGCAGAAAAGCCATATACAAGTCTAGAATAGGCATCTCTAATTTCATCTCTTACGGTTTTTTGGCTATCACCAATGTAATGAACAAACCAAATTAATCTATGTAAATGATAAACGATAATACAAGTTGAAGAATGATTATTTTTTAATGAAAACAGAAAATTAGGTAAACAGAAAGAAATACAGACAGACAACGTCAAAAAGCCATGAATAAAAACTAAATCAGCTATCAAAATAGCAAAGAGGTCCGCAAAACCAATATTTCCTCATTGAAATGCAAAAAGAGAAAGAAGTCTACAGATGCAAACAACAAATGCAAAGAGATCTGTCTATGTTATTCATGTTGCTGACGTTTAGAATCGATGATAAGTACTTACCACTGGGTGACACCCACTTATTACCCTTTGACGGAAGAATCAGAATATAAGTGTCAATAGTCATAGCAAGTGATTTTGGTAAACTGATTTACAAAATCACACCCAATACAAGTATGCTTTACACTAAACACCCACAGTTTAGAATTCAGAGCGATGCATTTTGTTTAAAATAAGAAGTAGGTTATTTAATAATTAAAGAAAATAAATATGTATCATGCTGTGTCAAGGTGTAGGCTGATTTGTTCTGCAATAAATATAGCAATTAATATCATACCTGTTATGAATACGTGCAGCTATTCCATTACAGAGGCAAGTTTTCAAAAGTCCTGTCATACCCCGCCGAAGCACCCTGGTATATTTACAATTTGGGTTATATATTAGGTTAGAATACCGCCAAACCATTGACAATGTTAGTGTATTATTTTAAACCATTTTAACTTAACGATAAATGAAAAAGGATTGTGTGGTTTTATGAAACCATGGTTAAAAGTGAAACTTTTTTTCACATTATAGACATATAACTCTGACAAATAACATTTACATTAAACACAAAAACAAACAAAATAGCGTGGAGCATTGGCACAAATGAGTCTATACACTACACGGTCAGCTGCTGCGAACTATAGGCGCCGCCATATTAGCCTTGGCTGCTCTGATGAGCGCCTTTCATTTTATCCCTACTCCGCGACCGACCGTCACGCGACATGCAACACACAGACGAAAAAGTTTGAGACGATGTAATAAAAAGTTTCACTTTAATAAAATATATTAGACGAATTTGATTTGGGAAGAAACAGCTTGAGTAATTAACTAGCAGTGCGGAACTAACTAAGTAATGGCTAAAGTCTTAAAGAGATTTTAAATGTATCAGATTCTAAATGTTTGCATTTGTGAATAGATTTTATGAATGAAGAAAGATGGACTAACGCAACGCGGCTGACTGAGTTTTGTCTCTTCCGCTTTAAGCTTAATGCGAATGAACAAAAGTTTAAAATTTGTATTGACACTAGTGTGATTTTCGTGGATTATGGAATGTTACAAAGCATTTACTAACGAATGCGTCAAGAACATTTATTGAAGACGCTATTCTGTCGGTGCATGTGTGCTAATTTTTTTTAATTAATAAATCTGCTGTCAATAAAGATGTTCCGAATTTTAAAGCAACAGAATTTTTTTTTATTGCTTAGCCCATAGACATCTGTGACGTAAATGCACCACCCACCCTGAGATATAAGTTCTAAGGTCTCAAGTATAGTTACAGCGGCTGCCCCACCATTCAAACCGAAACAGGCAGGGTGATGGTATTTACCCGTGCGGACTCACGCGAGTTCCTACCACCAGTAATTACGCAAATTATAATTTTGCGGGTTTGATTTTTATTACACGATGTTATTCCTTCACAGTGGAAGCCAATCGTGAACATTTGTGTAGTACGTATTTCATTACAAAAATTGGTACCCGCCTGTGGGATACAAACACCGGTGCATCGTTAGATACGAATGCCCCGGTCATCTTATCCTTTAGGCCACGACGACTTCAGAAGTATAAAACTAATTAAATTTATTCATGCATTCCCACCTGATGAGTGAATAGCTTCTTAAGTCCAATAACGGTGGCCAAAAGTAAAGCGATCTTGGATATAAGGAGAGCCTTCCCGACCATAAGCGTGAGCCCCTTAAAGAACAAAGCGCCGAGGACCCCAATCTTCATGGCTGCCAGACCTATGAAGGGTCCAATTTTGTTTTGCCGGCGACCTGTTTCGATTGCTTTCGGTGCTTTGAGAGATACTCCTGAAATTTTAAATACGACATTAAATTTGCGTTTAGAAGAAAGCTTTTATGTGCGAATTACATCTTGGCTACAATCCCTATCCTATCTACCGCTTTTGCTATTGAATACTTTACAGCTTTTAATATGAATTTAATTCGAACTTAATATAAGAACAGACCGCAAGCAAGCAATAGCTTAAGATTATTTGTTAAAGTTCCGATTCTTCCATTTTGCTCTAAGAGCACCAAAGAGAATTGGTGCTATATTTCACATGAAGTTCAATTTATTGGGATTCACGAGATCAGGTTCTATTTTTAACCGAAGTTCAATATGGTCGTTTGGCGGTGAAGTTTTTGTAATCTCGCATCTTATAACACAGGTACCAATTCAATATAAATAAAATAAGCCCTAATACTATTTATCATAAACCATAAGATGATGTTAATGCATTTCAAAATAACAATAATCTATCGAAGACCTGTTAATGTATATAATTAAATATTCTATTAGCGCACATACTGAGAGCACTCTGAGAACAACCGAAATTAACTAAGATTCCTTCCCTAAGTGCCCTAATTATAATTTGATACGTGACATATAATTACCGTGTACGTAATAACAAGGTATAGAATTATTCAAGGCTTGGTAACTGTAAATATGATAAAAACAGTTTTCATCATGGATTTGGTTTAATCATTTTCTTCTTGGAAACGCTTGCCAAAATCATGATCAAATTGAATTAAATCACGGAAATGTTATGTGGAAGTCCCGGCGATATTAGAAGCGCTCTCTCTCTGGAGGTGGTAGGGACTAGTTTGGCATACTCGTGTTATTTTTAGTTGTCATTACGTGACTAGAATCTATAGTGCTAAGGACTTGCAGCAAAGGTGGAGACGACTAAATTTGTATAGAGGTCTTATTGTGATTATTGTAAGGCTAAGAATTATATTGATTGATTAATTGGATGGTAGCAATTAAAATGGGCAAGGCCGTTCGTCACTTGGCACATCTAATGGGTTATCAATGGGGCAGCCCGAGAGACCAAATCAAAACAGGAAAATTTAATCCAAAATGAGTTGGTTTCGATATCAAAAAATTTAATTTAACATGAATGCAATTTGCGCTTGTATAATGTCAAAGTATATTTAATGTCGGATCCAACAGCGTCACAGTCCTGAGAAGAAATGTCTCAAACATACCTAGTCATTATTGCCATTAGACATGAATACCTATGTTGTTAGTATAAGCAGAAGGACGGTTCATCATCTTGTGACATCTATGAGCTATGAATCCATTTGTACCATTTCTCCAAAACCACTTGTACCCATTTATATTATACTGGCGATCCACCCTCGCTTCGCTTAGGAAACTGCAATTTATTATTGATTTCTCCACTATTTAATGGATATTATTACACGTATAAACCTTCCTCTTCAATCACTCTATCTATTAAAAAAAAAACCGCACCAAAATCCGTTGCGTAATTTTAAAGATTTGAGCATACACAGGGATATAGGGACAGAGAAAGCGACTTTGTTTTATACTATGTAGTGATAAATATACTCAAAAGCACTGTTTGACTTACCAATACCGAAGTTTCCATCATTGTTCTCTTTACCAGACATCACCAGGTCCGCGTTGTTCAGTAGCCTGTACCTCAGAGACCTGGTGGTCGCGAAGTTCCATAGCTTATCCATGATAAGTTGTTGGGCTTGGTCTTCGATAGTCGAGCCGGCTCTGGCTAGGGATTCTGGTTTCACTGGCAACGACGCTGCTGCGCCATTACTAGAAAGTAATAGTCCTTTTTTTAAAGAGGAATTCGAAGCTCTGCTCACAGTGTGCTTCGTGGTAGGAATAGGTATGATGGTCATACAACTACATTATGCCTCACCACCACAAATTACACCTTTTTATTTGTGGCCCTCATATTTGTTGCGTTATTAAGTTTCGAGTTACGATTTGTGTAGTAATGGATGTCTAAGGTGTATTTTTTTTATTGTATAGATGGATAAACGACAGTTAAAATACTATCTACTTCCATTTGGCTTCATACAAAAGAAGATCGTCGATATTTACAGGATTGTTGAAAATTCCGTTCTAACGAATGGTTTAAAACCTTTGGGTCTACGAAAGGACTTTCATTATTTGTTCTATTTATATTTGTATTGTATATTGCACGGAGAGTGCTCTGGGGAATAGGTTGAGATGATCCAATCACCTCATTTTTATTTACTCATTTATTTATTTACACTTCATGCATTGTATACATTGGCGGACTTAATAATTGAGGCATTCTCTAGTTTTCATCCAAAGGGAATTCAGAGGGAAAAATGCATTGAACTATAAATTTTACCATCGCACTGCCCGTCATTGGAGTAGTGTTCACCCATACTACATAGAACCACAGCGTTAATCCAGTAGTGTGCTTCTGGAGGTATTTTCTGCCACGTACCGATGTGAGTTCCTCTCTGTGTTTCCTCTCTTCAAATGAGGTTTGTGGAGGGTACGCAATGGTGGGCAGCGAATTGATTGAGCTCCTGGCTTTACTGGCATCCATGAGCCACGGCTACTACTCAGTATCAGACAAACCCACTGAGTTTCTCGCCGGATCTACTTAGTGGGTCGGATTTCCAATCCGGTGGTAGATTCTGCGAAGCACTGCTCTTGCTAGGGCCAGTGCTAGCAATACCTCTGGTTTGAGAGCTCACCTACACGCTAGGGTAACGCTGATATAGCCTCTCAAGGCTATTAGCATAGGTATGGGAAAAAATACGCCATCTTGCTTTTCTCTGTCATCCTTTTTTTCCTTTTCTTACCGTTTTCTGTCACTCACATCTTAACGGTCCGTTCCACAGGAGATATAGCTAACACTGGTCCTAGCAAGAGCAATGCTTCGCAGAATCTACCACCGGATCGGAAACGCGACCCACTGAGAAGATCCGGCGAGAAACTCAGTGGGCTGTGTCTATGGGTCAGTTTATCGTCGCTTGCGAAGAAGGGTTCGGCGAGAACGGTGCTTGAGGTACCTAAAAGCACCGTTAATAGATCGGGAAGATGGCGTAGATGATTGAATGAGCAAGGCTTTAAAAAGATGTCACTAATTTTTAATATAATAACAGAGAAGATTTTAGAAGAGAGCAATAAAATTGCAACAGTGGAATAGTTTTATTTGATGTGCCATGATCCCAATTCTACATATATATTTAAACATTTATATAAGTATGTTTATTATTCTCTGGTATCCATCTACCTTCAGAAATATTAACAAAAAGCACAGATTTATCAAAATCAGCCGGCATTTTGAACATTGTACTCGCTTTACCACGAATAATTGAATTAGCATCCAAACGACGTGAATACGTAAATGCAGCCGCAGGAACCGTAATGGAATTATTATCTAAAATATACATATAAAAAGGACGTTTGTCATTGTTATTGCCAGTTTTTTCCAGCAAGAAAGCGCCTTTTACTATCTCTTCACCCGTCACCGCAGCGGAGTTCGTTTCTGACATTGCTGATATTCGATATGAGCGACGATAACCACTCACCATCAGTTGAGCCATTAATTTATGTTTTTTTTATCATTGCTTAGATGTGTGGACGAGCTCACAGCCCACCTAGTGCTCATGGTTACCGAAGCCTATGGACATCTACAACGTAAATGCCGTCATTCACCTTGAGACATGAGTTCTAAGGTCTCAATATAGTTACAACGGCTGCCCCACCCTTTAAACCGAAATGCATTATTGCTTACAACATAAATAGGCGGGGCGGTGGTACCGACCCGCGCGGACTCACAAGAGGTCCTACCACCCGTACTTATATTGGCAATAATAATGTAAAAGCCTCCCTAGAAAGGCGTAGCTCCTTCACAGCAGTAATAGCCTCATTAGTCGTAGCTATCAGTCCAAACTTTTAACAGAACTAAATAGCCATAAATTTTATGAAATGTTTCACTGCATTTCTGCGTATTAACCGAAACAAATCCACAAACAGCTACAGGTACACAGCATGCAGAATATTCTGTTCAATCTGCATCGGGTCATCCAGGCATCCTCTGATGCGCTTACAAAATTTGTGAAATGTGAATTTTATTTGGGAAATATGTTTCGGTATAGCCTTTGAGAATTCGGTTATATTGTAAAATAGGTCCGTGATATCACTATTCCGCTGAATTTAGTTTGGTGGTTTGTAACAAACCTATTTCAATAAGATAGCATTGATTTGGAATTGGCCATCATTAGCTGGTTTATATTTTGGTTTTAAGAACATTGTAATTTTCATCGTCTAACTTTGCTTGGACTGGGAATAGACTATTTCTTTTGACTTTCTCTTATTAGTTTTCTATTGTTTTTTTCTGTGTGAAAGACAATAAATGATTTTATTATTTTAGATTATTAAATTATATGTTATACGAGAAACCTTATAAAGGCTCTGATGGTCTATGATTATCCTTAATTACTCGGCTAATAAGACAATAAAGTATTAGATTCCAGATGGGCTGTGAATTTACCTATCCACCCATCAACAATACGTATGACAGTTGGATAATTGGTCATCATACCTCTCATCGACAATCAAGACGTCGTCACTGATCTGGACTGCGGCAGTTTTCAGCATCCTATCGACGTATCCGACCAGCTCGTGGACGATGCATGAGGATGTATCTCGGGCAGCGCACTTGGCACTCAACCCCCGCTTGATGGTCTCTTCGGAGGGCTGGAAAAGAATTGTTAACCAAAGTTTATTACCCAAAGACCAATATAACCAAAGAATTTTATGGCTGTATATTTATTTGCCACCCATAGAGCCTATGTTTTTTTTTTTGTATTGCCGTTGCAGGCAGACGAGCATACGGCCCACCTGATGGTGTTTGGTTACTGTCGTCCATGGACTTCAGCAAAACCAGGGGCAGAACCAAGCCAATGCCCAAAAATAGCTTATATCCTCCCTTAGCTATCGCGCAAGTTACGTTTCACTAGTTTTTAACAGAGATAAAAAAAACTTAAGATTCCTAAGGTTTTCGTCAGACATATTATACTGTTGAATTTGTTAATAATTAGCTATTAAATATATACGAAAACCTCACATACGTTTGGCTAAATTATTCGGCAATTAACATTTTTTTTTCCTGAAAATGTAGTCTATACGTTTAGGTGATGTTACAAAAGCAAGTATGCGATATTTTTGAAAGGCCATTAACGCAATGTTATTTACAAAAGCTTCCCAATAATTAGCTTAATTAAGCCGAAAAAAATTAGCTTGCAATAAATCTACGGACCAATGTAATTACATAAAATCTATAAAATTAAGCAGTAAATTTTTCTAACGCGAAAATAGTCGTAAATATGAAGTTGCTTAGGTTTTTCGCACACAAAACAATAGGAAACCAGATTGGAACTGTTTTTATTTGGGCTGCCGAGCTCATACCAGCTAAGGATAGCTATTGCATCAACAGGGCAGTAGAGGCTTATGGATGTCAGAAATATTAGGGGTACAGCAGTGCCACTTTTTCGGACACATCGTCCGAGTCTGGGAGACAGACATGAATTAGGTCGTGGGCAGAATGCATGCAACCATACGCAAGCGGTGCGCATCCTTGGTACGCAGAGTACGGGCCAGCTCCAACACGGTCCTGGCCATGATTGCAAACAGACTGGACTGCTCCTATATAAGACATTGTTGTAATAAGCACCTGTCTCTCATTAATCTAAAAGAGTGACTGGTATGGTGGCTGTTACTCAGTTAACATTATTTCATTATTTATTGTATTACTTCCTTTATTAATTTTAATTTTATATTAGTAGTTGACAATTTTAATTTTAATAATTTTGATTTGGTTTCATTTTTGTTTGTTTCTGTTTTTAGTTATTTTGATAAATTGTAATTTTAGTTTTACTGTATTTTGTATTTATGTTGTAGTTATGTGAAATTTTATGGGCTTAAGTTGCCCGAAATAAACGCATTTCATTACATTTCATTTCATTTCAGAACACTAGCCAGATGGTGAGGTCTGGTTAAGGAAGTGGTTGGTGGTAGTCTATACCATGCGGTCTATGCCACCCATGATCGAACACTGTGTTAAAAGAAAGGAAAGGAAAGTCACATGTGGTCGAGATCTTCAGTTTTCAGGGAACGATGAAGCAGAAGAAGAGCCACCGCCCAAAGATAAGGACTCTCTTCAAAACCTATTTGAAGAAGAATAAACCATAGTACTTGGGGAACATGGCTCAGTGAAGTTTGTTCCAATTTTGGTTGATACGTTGAAAAAATTACTTGACTGATCTTTAGCCATTACGATCACCATAAGCTCTACTCTAGTGACGGATGAAGGTAAAAGGAGGTGAAGGTCATCATTGGCTCTTAAAGCGACAAATGACCGCCGACCCTAATGGAAGGCGTGCCGGAAATGCTACCATTTCTCAGCGACCAACTGTACATAATTCCTGACCCCAAATAATCTAGGTAGCACTTATAGTCGGAACGACCCCTCGTGTTTTTGAACGCTTTATGGTATAAATAAACGTGAACACGATTAAGCTTTTTCCATTTAATATATAATTGTGGGGAAAGCGTTTCGAACTAAAAGAATAAGTTCGAAAAGAATAAGTTGTTCTATTGTATCTAATGCTTTTAAGATGAGTCTTCGTCGATTGGTGATGATAGGATTATGGACCCGCTAATGTATATATTTTTAACCCACAGATATATATAGCCCACTGAGTTCTCGCGGAATCTTCCCAGTGGGTCGCGTTTCCGATCCGGTGGTAGACTTTGCGAAGCAACTCGCTCCTGGCCTTTTCATTTTTCATTATTATTATTATTTTTTTAATTGTATTTTTTGACTTGTTTTTTCTTTTATTGTAAATATTTTTATTTATTTAAAAAAAAAAAGTATTTGAGAAAAAACAAAAAGCCCGCTGTGTTTGTTTCGCCGGTTCTTCTCAGGACTGTGGGTTTTTTTGGAACCGGTGGTAGAGTTAACATTGTTATTTGTATTTTGACATTGAACAAGTGTGTCATACTGACATCTAAGTTGCAATAAATGATTTTGAATTTGAACTGCTCTCCTACTAGTTCGGTGAATCTAGAATAGCCCCTCGAGGTTACTAAAATAGGTAGAACCAACCAAAAAATCTTGACTAATTATAATCTCTCAAAGATTAAGGGAGCGAACTGAAAGTGTACGACCAGACTAAGCACTTTACAAGATACTGATTTTGTCGGATCGCTTTTAAGCAGCAGCGCGAATTAATCCTAACACCTTAGAAGCCTTTACTTAATAGCTTAAGTTAGTCGATAATGATCTTAACTCACAATCAGTTCGACATTACTATGAATCGCTTGAATTAACACCTTTTTTTTTTGTTGCTTAGTTGGGTGGACGAGCTCACAGCCCACCTGGTGTCAAGTGGTTGCTGGAGCCCATAGACATCCACAACGTAAATGCGCCACCCACCTTGAGATATAAGTTATAAGGTCTCAAGTATAGTTACAACGGCTGCCCCACCCTTCAAACCGAAACGCATTACTGCTTCACGGCAGAAATAGGCAGGGTGGTGGTACCCACCCGCGCGGACTCACAAGAAGTGGCGCATTTACGTTGTAGATGTCTATGGGCTCCAGTAACCTCTTAACACCAGGTGGCCTGCGAGCTCGCCTACCCACGTAAGCCACAAAAGAAAAAGATACTGATTTTGTCGCATCGCTTTTAAGCAGCAGCGCGAATTGATGCTAATACCCTAGAAGCCTTTACTTAATAGCTTAAGTTAGTCGATAACAATCTTAACTCATAATCAGTTGGACCATTACTATGAATGGCTTGAATTAACACCTCTAAAGTTTCCCGTTAATTTTCGGACACGAAATCAAATTAAGACATTATTACGTCGGTTTCATTTTGATATATCTGTTAAGACTAGAGGTCCCGCAGTAGTCGAAATTCGACTATAATCAATTGGAAATGTAAGTTTGTACACTATTATGATTGTATTTTATACTTCTATAATCACACATTTTGTCAGGACTACACTATAAAAAATATTAACAAAGACAAACAATATTTTATCTATTCTCAATTTGACAACAGACGTCAAGAACAAAAGTTTGACAATAAATAGTATGCATGCGTGTGTGCGTCAAATACATGGTATGTAGTGTGTGTAATGTTTTCATTATTGATTTAACGTATCTTTTATGCATTATTTAAAAAAAATATTAGCACTGTGCACTTCTTCTCTATATTCTCTATAAGTGTGGAAAATTTCATGCTCCTCCGTCCGCGCAATTTTCGTAAAAAGGGATACAAAGTTTTTGCTTCACGTATTAATATATAGATTAACAAATAATTGGGAATGATGAAAGAATAGCATGTGTATACTCGTATTGTTTAAATGTCTACACAATTATTCAACAACCAAATGAAGTTGAACAGTCTTACGTTGAGAATACTTACTAAAGCTTACCGAATAATAACGAACAAAATTCTGTATATTTATGTTTCACATACAGCATCTTCGATAAACAAAAACCACTCTGCGCTGGATTGCTGGTTAAGTTAATGCAAAATCCGCAATTTAATGGTGGATGTTTTCTAGCTTTAACTTTATTTTTTTTCGTAGCAAATAAAAAATAAGCTATCTATATTATTATATATAAAAATGAATTGCTGTTCGTTAGTCTCGCTAAAACTCGAGAACGGCTGGACCGATTTGGCTAATTTTGGTCTTGAATTATTTGTGGAAGTTCAGGGAAGGTTTAAAAGGTAGATAAATATGAAAATGCTCGGATTTAAATAAAAACAACAATTTTATTTTCTCTTTGATGTGTCCCCCGTCGGACGGATTCCTTTTCTTTGTGTCTTTTATTTATCGATTGAGGCACTACGAAGTCTGCCGGGTCAGCTAGTTAGAAATAAAACACAAGATTACCTTATGCACAAATGAGCTTCTTAGCTAAATATAGTTAGGCTGAAGTTACGGATATCGTTTAGAAAATAAATTAACTATTCTAATGGAGTTGAAGTCGTTGTGGCCTAAAGGATAAGATGCCCGTGCCCGTGTAATATGGAATGCTGTGTATAAAAGAAATGGCTTCTTCACCATTTTGATTATATATATTTTAAATTGTATATAGAAATAATAAAGTATATTTTTAAATTCTTCATTAAACAAAAAATACAAGATAGTTAATATTATGTTACTGTCTACAGGAGCGATGAGAAACTAATAACAAGCCATCTATTGGTCGAGGCCCGTAAGCAGAATGTTTATAAGAGAAAAGATCTAGCTCGCTCTCTTCCTTACTCCAAAGTCGAGTGGTTCGCGAGACGCCCTGTCTATTTATCTCACTCTCGTTCGTCCTAAATTGTATCTTTTGTCTCTATCCGTAACGGATCTGTCGCGAGTAAAATTTTACTCTCAACGCGCCTAAAGAAGTTTCACTACACAAAACGCAATGTGGTACCGCGTATTCTGAGCCCGCATGAGTTAGTACCACCATCGTGCATATTTCGGGAAGAAACAAATTGATTTTCATTTCGTCTGAAAATCACTACATAGTATAAAACAAAGTCGCCTTCTCTGTCCCTATATCTGTCTGTCCCTTTGTATGCTTAAATCTTTAAAACTATGCAACGGATTTTGATGCGGTTTTTTAAATAGATAGAGTGATTGAAGAGGAAGGTTTATATGTATAATAACATCCATTAAATAGTGGAGAAATTAATAATATTTAACAGTTTCGTAAGCGAAGCGAGGGCGGATCGCCAGTATAATATAAATGGGTACGAGTGGGTACGATTCATAACTCATAGATGCCACAAGATGATGAACCGCCCTTCTTCTTATACTAACAGCACAGGTATTCATGTCTAAAGGCGGTAATGACTAGCTATGTTCAGACATTTCTTCTCAGGACATCCATTAAATAGTGGAGAAATACTGTTATCAATAATAAATTACAGTTTCCTAAGCGAAGCGAGGGCGGGTCGCTAGCTTATAATAAGCTCTATAATTCATAAAAGAAAGCATGTATGCACACCATTAATTACTGGCGAAATGTGAAGCCGTTAATTGCCGTAACTAACTGTCAGTGCAGTGGCGATGCATCATCCGACGAGCTACCGCCCGATTAGCCTCCTCATGTCTCTAGGCAAACTGTATGAGCGTCTGCTCTACAAACGCCTCAGAGACTTCGTCTCATCCAAGGGCATTCTTATCGATGAACAATTCGGATTCCGTACAAATCACTCATGCGTTCAACAGGTGCACCGCCTCACGGAGCACATTCTTGTGGGGCTTAATCGACCAAAACCGTTATACACGGGAGCTCTCTTCTTCGACGTCGCAAAAGCGTTCGACAAAGTCTGGCACAATGGTTTGATTTTCAAACTATTCAACATGGGCGTGCCGGATAGTCTCGTGCTCATCATACGGGACTTCTTGTCGAACCGCTCTTTTCGATATCGAGTCGAGGGAACCCGCTCCTCCCCACGACCTCTCACAGCTGGAGTCCCGCAAGGCTCTGTCCTCTCACCCCTCCTATTTAGCTTATTCGTCAACGATATTC